TCCGGGAACCCAAGAGGCAAGCGAATTTTGGGAATGATGAGGGCAACAAATGTATAGATGTGCTCTACACAATTGATCTATGTATTGTGATGAATTTTATGAGCCCCAATAAATTGATTTAAAAAAATAAAATAAAATGTTCTAAAATTGAGTGTGTTAATGATTGTACAATTCTTCTTGAATTGCTTATTATATGCCAATAAAACTGTTTTAAAAAATGAAGAAAAATAAACACTATTTAAAAAAAAATAAAGTTGAAAGGAGTGGGGAGGGAAGGGATAAAATGAAGAGCTGATACCAAAGGCTCAAGTACAAAGAAAATGTTTTGAGAATGATAAGGGCAACAAATGTACAAATGTGTTTGACCCAATGGAAGTGTGTGTGGATTGTGATAAGAGTTGTATGACCCCAATAAAATGATTTTTAAAATAGAAATAAAACAGTATTACACGTTACAACATAGGTCACTATAAACCAGCAAGACACAAAAAATAACCAATTATATGATCCCATTTATATGAAATGTAAATGTCAAGTCTTTAAAGATAGGAAGGCTGATGCAAAACCTTTTTTTGCAACTATGGGTATATCTATATGTATCTATGAATATAAAGGCACACCCTGAAGACACTGCAGGTTCAGTTCCAGATCACAGCCAACAAAATGATGGAATGAAGCAAGCCACATAAATTTCATATATAAAACTGTATTTTAAAAATGTACATGACAAAGCTAAATAAAAGGTATTTTAGGAGAGAAAAAAAGTTGAAAGTTCTGTATAAACAAGGTTAAAGATGATGATAGAAAAACACTGTAGAATTTCACTAGGGGAAGTAACAAAGTTAGACACATAACCACTATCTGAGAGGCTGGTTGGTCAAAGGACCATTGGGAGACAGGCCTAGCAATCTGCCTCACCTAGGTCCTAGCCTTGAAAACCCCAAGGAAAAGTTCTGCTCTGAATACATAAAGTTGCCCTGAGAAAGAATCAGCTTAACACTCACTAACAATTAAAAGCTCTCACTGCCAGCAAGTTCATCTGACTCACATAGAATACCTGTATACATACAAGAAAATGCAGTTAATAAAAATTATTATTCAAATTTAAGTACCAACCACTAAAACCAGTGATGAAGATATTGAAGAACTCTATCAACCTCAATTGAAATTGATCAAACATACACTCAAGATGCACTGACATTTACTGGCAATTGGAAAGTGAAACTTGGAAAAAAAGAGGGGCATCAGTAGTTGGAATACTGGCTTGGTGATGAAAATGAAGCTAGAGATCCCATGATAGAATTTTGTAAAGCCAACTACTGCATCGCAAATACCTTTTTACAACATATAAGTAACTATAACATGGAATTCTACAGCTGGAAAATGCAGAAATCAAACTATCTCTGAGAACAGACAATGGGGAAGCTCACTATAATCAGCAACAACAAGGGCAGGGGCTGACTATGGAACAGACCATCAATTGCTCATATGTAAGTTCAGGTTGATGTTGAAGAAACGTAAAACAAGTTCATAGGAATTAAAATATGACCTTGAGTATATCCCACCTAGATTTCTGAAACATCTCAAGAAAAGATATGATTCATTGAATACTAATGGCAGAAGACCTGACAAGCTGTCAGAAGACATCAAGGGTATCATACATGAAGAAAGATAATTTAAAAGAGGGAAAAAAATCAAAATGGATGTCATAAGAGAATCTGATGCTCTTCTCTAAGAGTAGCCACAGCAAACAAAAGGAATGAAATTAAAGATCTGAATAGAAGATTTCAAAAGGCATTTTAAGAAGACAAAATAGTATAATGAAATGTGCAAAGACCCTGAGTTAGAAAACAAAAAGAAAGGAAATACTCCATATATATCAAGTTAAAAGAATTGGAGAAATAAATGCATGCCTCAAGTTGCAATACTGAAAGATTCTATGGGCAAAATATTCAATGATATAGAAAGCATCAAAATAAGATTGAAGAAATATGTCCCTATAATTAAAAAAAAACTTGACAATCAACCACTTCAAGAGCTAGTATATATATATAATCAAGAACCAATGGTACTGAAGGAAGAATTCAAGCTGCACTGGAAGCATTAGCCCCCCAAAATTGAAAGAGTATCAATTGAAATGTTTCAACAAACATGAGGCCCTGGAAGGATATTTTCCATTGCCCCATAGGCATGCCAAAGTTGGACACTGAATAAAAAAGATCAAAGAAGAACCCAAGGATTTGACTTATGGTGCTAGTGAAGAATATTCAAAGTATCATGGACTGCCAAAAGAACAAATAAATCTAACTTGGAGAAGTATAGCCAAAATGCTACTCAGAAATCAGGATGGGAAGACTCTGTCTGATATACTTTGGATATGCTACCCGGAGAGGGAGGCCAGTGTCTGGAAAAGGACATCATGTTTGGTAAATAATATAAGGATGGGCTGGCACAGTGAAAAACCCTCTAGGGCAGCGGTTCTCAACCTGTGGGTCGCAACCCCTTTGAGGGTCGAATGACCCTTTCACAGGGGTCGCTGGATTCATAACAGTAGCAAAATGACAGTTATGAAGTAGCAAAAAAAAATAATGTTATGGTTGGGGGTGACTACAGCATGAGGAACTGTACGAAAGGGTCACAGGATTAGGAAAAGGTTGAGAACCACTGCTTTAGGAGATGGATTGATGACACAGTGACTGTAACAATGGGTTCAAAAAGTAAAGATAATTATTAGAATGGCACAGGACTGGGCATGGTGTTTTCTTCTGTTGTACACAGGCTCACTTTGAGTCTGAACTGACTCAATGGCACCTAACAACAACAAGGCTTTCACTGTGAAAGAGAAAGCAAAAAGGTTTTGTAGTTAGGCAAAAACTGAACAAGTTAACAAAATTTACAACTCAGAGCGGCCTAGGATTATAACTACACAGAATAGTAATTCCAAGACAGATAAATAGTAATTCCAAGACACTAAAGCCCATCCTTGTTTGAATTAAAGTAACAATACTTAATCTGTATGACCAAAATGTTCAAAATGTGGGATGGGACAGGACTAGACAAGGCAGTGTTTCCTTCCATTGTAGAGGCTTACTATGAGTCAGAACTAACTAGACAACACCTAACAACAAAGCTTGATAGTGCTGCTAGACAACTGCCAGAAATAAATATATAGCTGAGAAAGAAACAATATCTCTAATAGTTTAGCATTCTATCAAACAAACTAGCAACAAAGAAAATGGGATTGGAAAGAAATTAGAAAATTCAATAGACAATGAAAACAGATCGTCGGGGATCAAGATGATAAAATAATGAAATTGCCAAGTGTGGGCTTTCAATACAACTATCTTATTTTCAAGAAAACAATGACAACTTCAGCAGAAAATTTTTAAATTATATATAATCACCAAACTGATATTCAAGAACCAAAAAAAAAAAAAAAAAGAAATTAAAATTGAAAACAACAACTAAAGAACTGAATTTTTAGCAAACAGTGAAGAACAGAAAAATGAAACTGGATTCTCAGAGGAAGAAGGAAAAAACATAAAGCAAAGAATGGAGGCAAACACTAGCTAAATAGGGCTGGGCACAGCTATATTCCTATAAAACATTATCAAGAAGAAAAAAGTTGACAATTCAAAATGACGAAAGGTTCAATACTGTCAAGAAAAATTCTAAGTTTGTAAACACCTAATAACATGAGTTCAAATGACAAACAGCAAAAATTTATAGAATAAGCAAAAACAGAAAACTCTACATGCATAACACATTTCACTAGAAAGGCAATCATTTTGAAACCCTACGTAGCATTTGCTACTAAAAGTCTAGTACACACAAGTTTATTATACACATATCCAAGGACCCAACAATTTCACTCCAATGTAAACAAAGGACTTTTTCACAAAGTTCATGGAAAAACAGAATTAAAGCAAAGTTAAAACTTTCCGCAATTTTTGAAGCCGCCTCCTATTCCCAAAACAAATATACACAAAAATACCATGAGGTGTGTACAAATATATTGAGCAGAGTCATAATCCTAACAGCTGAAATATGAAAAGATGATGATGACAACATATGTACAGATGTGTTTGACACAATGGATATATGTATGGGTTGTGATAGAAGCTGTAAGAGTCCCCAATAAAATAAAAATGCTTATATATGAAAAGAACCCAAGTATCCTTTCAGAATAAACTGATGAAATAGAAGTATATTCATCAAGGGAACACTACCTAACAATGAAAACAAAGGAACTTCAACTACCCACAAAAACATATAAACCTCACAAAAACATATATAAACCTCACAAGGTTAAATAATCAAAGGCACAAAGGGATATGTATTATCCCATTTAGATCAGTGTTTCTCAAATTTTTTTATCATTATTACCATCTATAAGAGATTTTTAACTTTTTCTTAATTGTATGCCCCAATTTTATTTTAACAGATATATAATAAAATGAGTTTATGCACTATACATGCATGTACTTTCACAAAAAATGTATAAAATATTTCTCATTTTCTCAATACAAGGTAAATTTAAGAATGGGTGAAATTTTTTAGTTACTATTAAAATTTTCAATTTATTAGCATTTAACTTTGAAGCTGTTTGTTAAGTAACATAGTAATTTATCTACTCATGTGTATACTCATTGAAGTGAATAAACACTAATATAGTTAGATTTAAAAAGTCTCTTTACTAAAATTGATTATGGAGATGACTGTGCAACTCTTATGACCGTTTTTATAAAATTGTATATATAGTATATATAAATTGTATATATAAAATATGCCATAAAACTGTTTAAAATAGACAAAAACCCAGCAAACTAATAAAACATCCTAAGAATTACTTAATCCCTTTAAACATTTTTTTTAACAAAAGGAAAAATACAGGCAATTGGTTTCTTAAAACCTAACACTATTTTAGTAAGTTTATAATTCTAGTTGGTTTGAGAAATACAGTTGTTAGATTTTTCACTCACATAAGTCAAAATCACGTGGTGGTTTTTTTGTTTTCTATCATTTAACAATTAATGATAGATTGAATAGAATTAAATAATAAAATGTAATTTACTCTGAATATCCTTGTAACATACAAAGGCAAGATCATGCTTTAATAACCTCACTGAAGGGCAATCAACAGGTATGGTAGGCTATCACAATATGAATTCAAGAGCAAATAATTGGGAAAAATTCCTCAAATCACAAACATCACCAGTTTTGTAACACTGATCTTGCTCACATTTTGTGTATCTTCCATGAACACAATGTAATATTGCTTATGTGATGCCTAAGAAAGCACAATATAAAAATTAATTAATGCGGCAGGGAACAGCTAACAAAAAGGTCAGTGATTCAAACCCATTTTGAACCAAGCTCTACTCTGTACTATAGGGTTACAATGAGTTGAAATAACAATGCCAGCAAGAGCAGACAAGGTTACATTCTGAAAAACCAACAACATACATGTTATTTCTCTCCTCCAAATAACCATTTTTGCGAATTGTGGGTGATATGCTCTCAATAAAACACGATTTAAGCCAAACCTCAAATACAGGAAGTTAGTTAATGGTTTTAAAACTTAAGATACTGGTGATGGGGGTGGTGGAGAGGACACAGCAGGTTGTAGACATTCAGGTGCTCTTCATGTGCTACTAATGTTCTAGTTCCTCAACTGTGTGGTCATCAGACTGTAATTTTCCACAATGTTTTAGTAGTAAGCATCAGACAACTTCCTAAGTTTCCATACTATTCTTTCTTAAATAGCTATATGAGCTTAAGTCTAATGATTTAAATCCCAAACTGGACCTGAACTATAAAATATTTTACATACAGCTGAAAACTATGAATATTTAAACAGAAAAAAAGAAAACTCTTAAGAATATGTTAAAAGGAATAACCAAACAATATGTGTATATAATTCTCAATGATAATGTCAATATGATATTAAATTCTAACTTGCTATTCCTAATGAAACAGAATAGTTACCTTTGGGGAGAGTTGAAGAGTCTTCTTTTTTCTTCCAATTATGTAAAGACTTTTTTCCTCTTCACCTTTCTCTATTCTGAAATCTTCCAGCTTCCTACAAATTTGAACAAATTCTCTTTTTAAGAAGAATCCAAGGTAACAAAAAAGATCTGGTACAGTTAAAATATCACTACACTGTAGTTTCTAACGAACAGCATGAAAAAAATTTTTTAAAAAACGAATTATACCACCCACGAAATGGTCTTGTAAAGAACTAAAAACCACCCTTTGAGAAAAACGAAGATGTAAGAAGAGATATTCATTTACTATATGGAGTCACTGAGTTCTGGGGGTTTTAATCATTTTATTGGGGGCTCGTACAATTCTTATCACTCCATCCATTCATCGTGTTAAGTACATTTAGTGCCATCATCACTCTCAATACATTTTCTTTCTACTTGAACCCTTGGTATCAGCTCATTTTTCTCCCTCCCTCCCTGCTCCACCCTCCCGCCCCGCTGACTCATGAACCCTTGAAAATTTATAAATTATTATTTTGTCATATCTTACACTGTGCGACATCTCCCTTCACCCACTTTTCTGTTGTCCATTCCCCAGGGAGGAGGTTATATGTAGATCCTTGTAATCGATTCACCCTTTCTACCCTATCTTCCCTCCACCCTCCAGGTATCACCACTCTCACCACTGGTCCTGAAGGGACAATCTGTTCTGGATTTCCTGTTTCCAGTTCCTATCTGTACCAATGTACATCCTCTGGTCTAGCCAGATTTGTAAGGTAGAATTGGGATCATGATAGTGGGGGGAGCAAGCATTTAAGAACTAGAGGAAAGTTGTATGTTTCGTCATTGATATCCTGTACCGGCTGGTTCGTCTCCTCCCCGCGACATATCTGTAAGGGGGTGTCAGTTGTCTACATATGAGATTTGGGTCTCCACTCTGCACTTACCTTCATTTACAATGATATGATTTTTTTTTGTTTTTTGATGCCTGATACCTGATCCCTTCGACACCTTGTGATCACACAGGCTGGTGTGCTTCTTCCATGTGGGCTTTGTTGCTTTGAGCTAGATGGCCACTTGTTTACCTTCTAAGACCCCAGACACTATATCTTTTGATAGCTGGGCACCATCAGCTTTCTTCACATTTGCTTATGCACACATTTGTCTTCAGTGATCACATCAGGAAGGTGGGCACACACTAATATGATTTTTTTGTCCTTTGATGCCTGATACCTGGTCCCTTCTACACCTCGTGGTCAAACAGGCTGGTGTGCTTCTTTCGTGTAGGCTTTGTTTCTGAGCTAGATGGCTGCTTGTTTACCTGCAAGCCTTAAAGGTCCCAGACACTGTATCTTTTGATAGCTGGACACCATCAGCTTTCTTCACATTTGCTTATGCACACATTTGTCTTCAGCGATTGTGTCAGGAAGGTGTGCATCATGGAATGCCAATTTAATAGAACAAAGTGTTCTTGCATTGAGGAAGCACTTGAATGGAAGACCAATGTCCATCTGCTGCCTTAATACTAAACCTATAAATATATGCATGTAGATCTATTGCCCCACCATCCTATATAAATATATTTACATATATACATGCCTGTATTCAGACCTCTATAAATACCCTTTGCCTCCTAGTTCTTTCATCTATTTCCTTTTGCTTTCTTCTTGTCCCACTAACATGCTCAGCCTTCATTTGGGTTTCAGTAATTTCTCTCGGTTACATTGCCCTTGCTGAATCCCTACCAGGCCTCTCACACCCTCCTTGCCACTAATTCTGCATCACTTGTTGCTCCCCTGTCTCTGGGTTGGTCAACACCACCTCCTTTCCCCAGCCTCCCCTTCTCCCATGTCCCCCCGGAACCATCTGTCCCGTTGTTTTCTCCTCCAGTCTGTTCATCCAGCCTATCTTATGTAGATAAATCTGCAGAAATAATAATATGCACCAAAAAACAAGGCACAGCAAGACAAAGCGACAAAAGAGAACACAACGATGACAGCAAAAAAGAAAACCAATGACCCAGAGAATAAATTAATTAAAAAATTTTTTTTAACTTTAAAAAAGAAAAACCTGTAAATAGATCAAGGTCTGAATTTTGACCTCTACATGTGTCCTCCAGTCAAGTCCGATGGGGTGCCACGCTCTGGCCCCAAAGTCTATCCTTTGCACTCTCTTGGGAGCTCCCTGCTCTGCTCCCCCCATTGCTCTGCCACACACCTTTAGTGTTTTGCCTCGGTGTCACAGGGTCAGACGGGGCCAGTGTTGTCCCCCGTACAGCTATGGGTCAGCAAGGGACATCATGTTTCATCGTGGGATCAGCCATATGGTCCACTGGCTTTTCGGAGCAGGGATATCATCCTCCTGGCCTGGTGGGCCAGGATGTGCTCCACTCTCTCTTCCTCCCCATTCATTTGCTCCCCTGTGCTCTGATCAGACATGCCCCTCTCCCCTAGCTGCAGCTTCAGTGCCATCCTCTAAAGTAAGTTCTTCTGTGGGGAGGGGCAGTTGTCCACATAGCTGGTATGGGGGCTGAGCCCAGGTCCCTCCACTGCCTCCCCTCTCCATGCCGGCACGCTGCATTCGCATCCCGGAACACCGGATTTAAGTCTAGTCCCTTTTACCCCCCTTCCAATTTTCTGTTCTCGCAGCAGGAGCTCCTGACAGGTGAGTTTTAACTAGTCGCCATTTTCCGGTTCATCCCCGAGTCACTGAGTTTTAAGTGAAGTGTATTGGTGACTCTCTAAGTGCTTGGAGACAGTGTCCTTATGATGTTTTGCCAATTTCCGAGACGCAACGAGTAAACTGAGAACACAGCTGCATTTGTTAAGACTGGCTCCATGGAATTGTTTATGCTTAGAGCAATTTTATCACAATGTTATTGTTACACTATGCAACCTGTGTACTCTTGCCTCATTAATACATAAAGCTGTACTTTGGAAATAAAATTTGCCTTTGGATCATCAGTCCATGTCTTTTTCTTCAGGTCATCACTCACTGCAGGTCCATACCACTGGAAGGGAATAGCTTACGAGATGGTACCCAGGCCCCCTCCCAAAACAAACAAACAAACAAACAAACAAAAACAGAAAAAGCTCCATTAGGCAGAGCTTTTGTAGTATTCATTTTTTCCCACTAGGAGAGCAGCAAGCAACTTGCTCTGTGTTAGTGTACCCAGTGGCGTCACCTCAGAAGGTTCTCTCTGGTCACAGTCCATTTTTTCGTTAAAATCTGTTTCACTGGAATTTCATTTTTGTGATGGTCAATTTAAGAGAATAGTGTACGGCTGTTAAATTTTGTTTCCTGCTTGGGAAAAATGCCGCAGAAACCACTGTGATGTTCAACACAGCTTACAAGGACAGCGCTATGAGAAAAACTCAAGTGTAAGAATACTTTTGTTTCAAAAAAAGAAGTATCAATTAATGACAAACCTCTTTCTGGACGTCCACCAACTTCCCAAAGAGATGAAAATGTCGGCAAAATGCATGCACTTGAGCTCAAAGACCAAAGACAGATCACTGAAGAGATGGGGAAGTTATCTGGGCTATCTTGGAGCTCGAGTCAGCAAATTGTAAAAGCAGATTTGGCAATGCAAAGGGTCACTGCAAAATTTGTGACTCAGGTTCTGACTGACCAGGCAGAAAAAGAGCATCAAGTACAAACACGCCATGCTTTGAAAGAACAGCTCCGAAGCGACCCAGACTTTTTTCCCAAGGTCATTACTGATGACGAGACATGGTGCTATTCTTACTTATAGCCCCAACCCTGAAAGCAAACATCAATCAAGACAGTGAAAGACGTCATCATCGCCTCGTCCCAAAATAGCTCATCAAGTGAAATCAAAGATCAAAATGATATTCATTTGTTTTTTTGATGTGAGGGGGATAGTGCATTTGGAGTTTGTTCCACCAGTCAGACTGTTAACCAAGCTTTCTATTTAGAGATTCTGAAAAGACTGTTTAACTGTGTGGCAAAAAAAGCCTGATTTGTGGCAGACAGTGGACTGGCTTTTGCTACCACAATACACCTGCTCACGCAGTCATCTCAGTGCACCACTTTTTGGCAAGAAACAGCATACTTCTTTTGCCCCAAGCACCTGACTCACCTGACCTCACTGCATTTGACTTGTTTCCACAAATGAAGACGTACATGAAAGGGCGGCAATTTGACAAGACAGAAGAGGTGAAGAAAAAAATGAGGTGCCATCAGCCATCCAAACAGATAAGTTTGAAAAATGTTTCCAAGAATGGAATCGCAGATTTGACCAATATATTAAGTGTAATAGAAAGCACTTTGAAGGCAATATGGTTGTTTTGTAAAAGTATTTAAATTCATAGTTTTGAAAAAAATTGTGTCTTGGGGGGGATGCCCCTCATATACTGAACAACTGTGCACTTAAGGATAATAATAGTACTTATATTTTAATTCAATCTTTAGCTTTTAGAAATGTGTATCTAAATATTTATGAGTGAAATAATACTTTATCTTAGATTTCTCTCAAGAGATTATGCAAGGAAGAAAAATGGGTATTGGAATAGATGAATATTGACTCTGAAGAAAATCTACCCTATTAAAGAGTTAGGAAATAATTTGAGTTAATTTCCTACCACATTTAAATTAGCTTTCAACCAATTACGAGGGGCTTCACAAAATCATGGGATAATAAATAAATAAGTTCCTGGAAAAAAGGAACTAAAAGATAATGACATTTTTCCAGACTCTTTTTGAAACCCTTTTGTACTTAAGGTATATTTCTATGATTACTTACACAACTTAGGGAATATAAACTATGTAGATAAACATATGCTTACATTATCACAGTCAGTATCAATAGAAAAATATATCCTAAAACAAACCTAAATATGGCTAGTGGTACCTCTGGTACAACCACTCTTCGTTTCCAAGCTTGCAGATCACGTTCGGTTGCAATCTGACTTCGTGGGGCATTTTGATGCATTTGACGAACACCTTCAACTTGTCCACTACGACGTAGACCAATATTTGGAGGAGACTGAATATCTAAACTTAGTCTTCTAAAACCTGAAATATAAAAAAGTTTACAAAAACAATTTCAAGGCAAGTGTTCACTTAACATGTAGCATGGATGTATTCCTCCTAAGACACATGCCAAAAACAAGGATCTACTAGAAAATTTTTGAAAATGAAAAGGCGACTGGGAATAGTAAGCAAAATTCAAATAGTAAAACAACATTTAAGAAAATTTGCCTCACATTCAATGTTCAGTAGACTTTCAGAGAATTTTTACAACTATAAGGTGTTGCTATCTAAGATATAACTATTAAAAAAAAAAAAGATATAACTATTATCTCTAGCTACAGAGTAAATGAAACCAAAGACTGAAAAATGAAGCAATTAGTCCTAAAGACTAATGAACTAAGTGAATCACCAGCATCTACTACCGGGAGTAAAACAGAAATAAACAGTGCCAGTTATCACAAACGACTGCTTGACTGGGATCACAACCGAAGATCCTAGACAAAGCAGAATAAAAATATAAAAAATTCAAAATCATAAAAAAACACCAGACATACTGATCAGAGATAGACTGGTAGAGAGCCCTGAAGACATTCTTCACAGACAAAGAGCATTTTAAAGTCCATTGTGATATATGTGGTCTCCCTTTGGCCCATTTTAAAGTTTTGTTTTGTTTTTTAAGGGAATGGGAAATTCACGTAGATTTAAACTCCTGTGCATTCCCTCTGACCATCTTCCAAGGATGTGAATAGCCTTGCTATCATGCAGCGTGCACTGGATAGTCAATTACTGCAAATGCAGTTAGGTTAAAATTTAACACCTTATCATTTGATCCCCCTCCTTTTGACCCATTTTAAGTATTTTCTGCTTTGTTATTGTTGTTTGCTAATGCTGTTTTGTATGTTTTTCTGTATATGAAATCCAGGATAGGTAAATTTATAAATATAGTAGCTGGATTAACGGTTTCTTTGCAGGATATGGTAGAGGAGGCGGGGGGATGGGAAGCTAATAACAATGGGTATAAGAAAAAAGAAAATGTTCTAAAATTGATTGTGGTAATGATTTTACAACTCTTCTTAATATGACTGAACTATTAAATTGTCTATGTGAATTACAGACCAATAAAATGTTACCAAAAGGCATAATTCAAACATGAAACTAAACCCATCCCCAGGGATCACCTTTCAGTCAAATAGCAGACAGTCCTATAAAGTAAGTAACTATACTCCTGAGAAATATACTCCACAGAATAATTAACCAATGAGGCCCAAATAGTAATATCTGCCTAAAATCAAAGCTCATAAGGTGCAGAAAAGACAGTCAAAAGGAAACAGGTAACTCATGGAGGAGTGTTAACTTGAAGGAACTGCAACATGTTATGAAACAAACAATGGATATATTGTGGATTGGAAAATTAATTTTCATTACACAATTGATGTGTGTATGGATTGTGATGAGTTGTATGAGCCCCTAATAAAATGATTTTTTTTAAAAGGAAAATTAATTTTCTCTGTAAACTTTTCACCCACTCCATGATAAAAAATAAAGTCTAAAAGTGTTTTCGATTATAATGTAATATTACATTACTATAAACTTCACCTTCAAAATGACATACCTAAAATGCACTTTATGAAAAATTAACACTAAAGGTAAAAATCCTCAAAACCCAGGTGGCTTTATAACCAGAACTGGAACTAAAACCACTAATTACCAAGCGAAAAGTATAATTTGAGCTACTAAAGTAGGCAGCCATAAATTAAGTGTAAATTAAAAATTCATAAAAGTGAAATCCCATGTAGAAATAATGCTAGCAGCATATGAACAAGAGCAGGGTGAGTGGGTGATGAAGCATGCACATGATAGTGGCACTCAGATCCTTTGGAACTACCAATGTATACCAGGTATACACACACAGGAGGCAGAGCAACTGGTTGGAACCCAGAGGCTAGAAACATGCCACTGGGAAGGAAGGCTATGCAAAATGTGATTTTTTCAAAATAAAGCGTGAAAAGGTCTCCTGCTATTTATATGCAGCAGAGAAATGAAGGTTATACCCTTTCCTGCTGGATGCTCTGTGGCAGTTACATAATCTCCTGTCAACTTGCAAGGGGGTGGGTGTCTAGCCTGTCAATCAGGCCATGCCAATTAGGCCTCAATGTGGATCTGGCCTTCTCCTGAGGATTCTTGGAACTCCTATATTCCTCCTTAGCTGTGGGAGACTCTGCTGACAAGCCAGCCACATGGAGCTACATTAATACATCCAGAGCCCTGGAACTAGAGGAGCCACACAGAGACCCATGCCAGCACTGAGATGCTTCTACTACCACTGGAGCCACAAGACTTTCCACCCACTAGCCTGTCATCTTCCTGCATTCAGCATCAATGCAAGGCTGCGTGAGTCTAATGAGGAATTTATAGACTAGTATTGGCATTTGGGGTAATACCGGACTTATGAACTTGATCTGGACTGGACTGGGATGTTCTCTTAATGCACAATTGCTCTTTGATATAAAATTCTCTCACACACAAGTGTCTCTGGATTTGTTTCTCTAGTCAACTAAGACTAACATATGGTCTAAAATTCTACTGCAGCTATTCCAGTTCTCCTTGGCTTGGGGGGAAAAAAATCCATATAGGAATAAAAGCAATTTCTACATTTTTAAATTTACATAATTATTCTATTTAACAGGTATTTAAACCAATTTTCAATACAAAACAGACATACTTTCCCCCTTTAAGACATTGCATTAAATGTCCCTATTAATCTAAATATTTTTATTAAAGCACTGATGTTTAAGAAATGTTTGGATAGTAAGTTCTTAATTTGACAATCATATTGTTATTCTCTAAGCAATTTGAAGATATGCAGATGTTTGCGACAGCATTATGTTAATAGTCAATTATGAGATATAAATTAAATGTCCATAAAGAGACTAATAACAAAGATTAGTAATGCCACACAGTAGAGTGCTACAATTTTGTAGATAGGATGATGATCTCTCAGAATTTATGTAATTTATAGTACATGTTGTAAAGGTGAAATACAAGGGGCAAAAAATATGAGGATAATAAAACAGCATTGCTAAAAAACTGTATGCCTTTATTAAAGAAAAATACCAAAGTGTGCCACTCTTCTAAGATGGTATGTCCATCTCTCTAATTCTTCCTCCAAAGACTTCACCACACAAAGTGGAAATTTGGGCATCTTGAAGATAATCAAACCAGGATGCTTTAAATGCTCCTCAGGTTCGGAGAACCAAAGGAGGCCTGGTATGATCAGATCAGGGATATAAAATAAATGAGTGTCCCAATGAACTTCTCGGTGGACAGCCCATTACAGAAAAGAATAAGCAGTATATTCTTTCTTTTTTTAGCTTCGGTTTGTGGCTTTTTTTTTTTTTTAATCATTTTATTAGGGGCTCACACAACTCCTATCACATTCGATACATACATCAATTGTGTAAAGCGCATTTGCACATTCATTGCCCTCATCATTCTCAAAACAATTCCTCTCCACCCAAGCCCCCATCATCAGGTCCTCACCTTTCCCCTCCCTCCCCGCTCCCCCCTCCCAAGCAGTATATTCTCATGACGGAAAAAAATTACTTGGTGTCAATTTCCTGGTGTTTTTCTCAACACTTGTTTTGAATTTTCTGTAAACTTCTTTACAATAAGCTGAAATGATCATCCTGTGGCCAAGATTACCTCTTTGGAATACAAAAGAAACTGCTAGTCAGAAAAAAAGGTTGTGAGCTATTTTATACTAAGCTACACTCTGTGTCTTGAACTGAAGTGGCCCAGCAGATCTCTTCACAAGTCACTGTTTTGTTGGGACTCTTTTTGTTAAGGTCCCCTAACAAGACTAAGACAAGTGGTATTACTAAGAAAACATGTCTGCAGCCACCCACTGAAAGCAGAGCCATAATTATAAAAACTTAGTTTGGACCCAGGCAAGGATGAACTGGAATCATGGTAACAGTATTCTTTGGCTAGTCCTTGTATCTTTTGCCTCTTGGTATGATGCACAACATAAAACAGATGACAACAATATAGAATTCATACTCCATAGAAGTTCAGATGATTTAAAAATTAATAAACAACAAACATAATATGAAAATAACGAAGGCAAAAAGGCAGGTAATGAATATGCAGATACTCAATCTGATTAGGGCTTTTAAAAACAAAAAGTTCAAATCAACATTAAGTAACCATCTGATGCCCATTTGAAGGGTTAAGAAAAAAAAGAAATCCAACCAACCAACATTTAGAGAATGAAACATCATCTTTTACATTATTTCTGTTGGGAGTATAAACTGTATAAATATTATAAAGAAAAATTTGACATTATCTTATAAGATCCTTAACACTTAGAAGTTCCACTTCTAGATTTATATACAAGAAGAATTCTTTCAAATACATACTACAGCATACATACAAAAACAATTGATGGCAATTCTTTTCATGACAAACTAAACTTAAAACCTGCTTCAATGTCTATCAAAAGGATGAATAAATTAGACATACTTATACATTATACAATAACTTTTTATAAATACAAAAATGTCAGTGTAATAGAAATTCAGTAACTTTAAAGACTACTTTATAATCAAATGCCCATTAATACACCAACTTTGCTTAACACATTAATCTCTAGATTACTATTCCTAAAAATAAGTTATTGTAAAATATGTTGTAAAACTAAAAGAATGTGGAATAGGGAACCAGTGGAGAAGTTCGAGGGGTCAGCCCGAATCCCAACTACTACGTGGACACCTGCCCCTCCCCCCAGAAGAATTTATTTCAAAATATGGCATTGAATTTGCAGCTCTGGTAGAGGGACATATCTGATGGGAGCACACGGGAGCAGCTGAAGAGGGAGGAGGAGCACGTGGGGCACATCCTGGCCCACGAGGCCATGAGGACGATGTTCCCGACTAGAGCAGTCAGGCAACAGAGAGGACCACATGGCCGGCCCCACTATGAGACATGATCCCCCTCACTGACCCATAGTCCTACAGTGGACAACACCGGAGACAGTGTGGGAATTGCGCCCGATCAGATACCACCACATGGAGGCAAAACACCAAGGGGGATGCAACAGAACAGCAAGGGAATGGAGCGGCGAGGCCCCCAGGGAATGCTGAAGGTGGACTTTGGGGCCAGGGCATGGTGCCCCAACGGACTGGATTGGAAAACACTCCTAAAAGCCAACAAACAGTCCTTGAACTAACAAGTTTTTCTTTCTTGTTTTGTTTTGTTTTTTTTGTCATTGGTTTGTTGTTGTTTTGTTGTATACTGTGGCTTGGCTTGGCTCTGTCTTGTTTTGGTTCATGTTAATATCACCCCAGGTCTGTCTAAATAAAATATGCTGGATGAATAATCTGGAGGAGAAAACAATGGGACCAACAGTTCTGGGGGTACATGGGAGAGGGGGAGGTGGGGGGAAAGGTAGTGGTGTTAACAAACCCAGGGACAAGAGAACAACAAGTGATCCAAAATGGTGGTGAGGAGTGTGTGGGAGGCCTGGTAGGGCATGATCAAGCGTAATGTAACCAAGAGGCATTACTGAAACCCAAATGAAGACTGAGCATGAAAGTGGGACAAGAGGAAAGTCAAAGGAAATAGAGGAAAGAGCTTGGAGGCAAAGGGCATTTGAAGAGGTCTAGATAAAGGCATGTACATATGCAAATATACTTACTTACATATGAGGATGGGGAAATAGATCTATGTGCGTATAGTTATAGGTTTAGTATTAAGGTAGCAGAAGCACATTGGGCCTCCAATCAAGTACTCCCTCAATGCAAGAATACTTTCTTCTATTAAATTGGCATTCTATGATGCTCACCTTCCCAACACAATCGCTGAAGACAAAGCGGTTGAATAAGTAAACGTGGTGAAGAAAGATGATGGTGCCCAGCTATCAAAAGATATAGTGTCTGGGGTCTTAAAGGCTTGA